TGCACTGAAGATGTTACCTAGCTGGGTAATGAAACGTTTGCAAGCAAAGAACCAAACTCAGGACCCCACAAACTAATACAATCAGTGATTTCACATTAGTGCTTAGTAATGTTGAGTGGCACATGAGATTCTTCTGCTGAAGTAGCTGAAGTGATTGAGAAGTACGTGTGAATGTCTGGCTTTTCATTTCTCATTTCTCCAGTGGTCTGCAGCAGTTTTTGCTTCAGTGAAATCCCAGAGGAGGGTATTGTATGGAAACTCCTCCCATGGGACTTTTTCAGTTAGGAAGCCTAGGTATCCAAGGTCACTGCAGAGTCATTGAGAGATGTATAAGAAAAACAACTGCAGCACTCTCAAAAATACCATCTAAGAAATTGTGAAGCACCTTGAGAATTAGGTGAAAAAAGAAGTAAACACCAAGTTCAGCTACTTCCATACTAACTCAGAACTTATTGCAACCTTTTAATGTAGCTTAGCATCTCTATTAAAAATGGAAGTCTAACATTAGGTCTTTACCTAATGCAACCGGGTAAGCTCTGGTTAAGACAAGATTTGAATGGGATTTTTCCCCCCAACACACCAATCTCTAAAGCTGTAGATTTAGTAAGATCTGTTGTCATGGAGTAAAATCTGCTAAGCTCTAATCACCCAAGAAGAGGGCTATAAAGATCTATGCTGCAAAAATCTAAAATGACTACTAGATGGCAATACAGACATATAGAAATCTCATTCTTTGTTGCTGTCTACTGGTGTTGTGAACTGGTGGGTTGTAGAATATAACCTCTGGAGAAGCACTGCTAACTCTCTTACCAGGATGTTTACATTTTTGTAGCTCTTCACTTCTTTCACTCCAGAGGACTTTTAGATAACTTTTTCATTAAGTTTTTAAGAATCTTGATTAATACCCAGTCACTGTCCTTATATTTTACCTTTGCTATATTTGGCAAAAAGTCAAATTGTTACTCATAAAATATCCTGAGAGATTTCAAAAATATTGCATTGGATTCCATTATTTGTGCACAGTTCATGCTGAAATAAATGAGACTCAATCAAATGTATGAGTGACCATGATATTTGATGTGTAGGTTTGTTTCATTGTTCCACCTCCTGATTTTCTATGCTAATGTATAAATGCATGGTAGCTCATCCCAGAACAGAACAAAATGAAAAATCTAATCTTTCCTCTCAACTCCATTGTCTGGAAAAATGTTAAATATGCCAAATCCATTGGCAAGAACATGCTCAAGGAAGACATGGATGTTTATGTTTGAACTAGCTGTATCAATAGAAATATAGTGTAGAAATCACTTCCATTTATTGGTGAGACCCCATTTTAAGTATAGAGTTCTGGGCACCTTTAACATTTCTCTAGGCACTAGAATAGATGTAGAAGAGCAAAGATGATGATTAAGACACTGGAAAATAAGTTCTGTACAGGGAGGTTGAATTTATAGTAGTCTTCAAGTACCTGAAGAGGAGTCATGGAGAAAAAGGCACAGTTCATATTGAAATAAATGGGACAATCAAATCTGTGGCCTATTTATCATCCCAGAATCAAAGTTATATGGAGTTATGACCTTACGTTACAGGAAGATAAATTCCAGTTGAGTATTAGGAAAAGCATCTAAAAGCAGTTTGTCAATGGGACCAATGATCTAATGAAGTACTATCCTCTCTTTACTGAAACTTGACTTGCTATATAAAAAATGGTTGATTCCTAGTGACATGGACAGAACCATCAGTTTTCTTAGCAATAGTATGGAAATGGTTTGCCATTATCTTTGAGGATGTTTTTCAGCTCCCAGTCTAGTCTACAGCTCTAGAATTCTGTTACTTCATTTATTTCAGGTTATATGCTACTCAAAGCAGTTTACAACAGGGAAAAATACAATATTAAAATAGAAATGATCATAAACTGAACAAAATAAGAGTGCTCTAAAAATAGTCACAACATCCAAATCCATAGGAGGAGAGTCCACTATTCCAGAGCTCTCTGGGTGAGCCTGGTTTTGATGGCTTTCTGAAAAGCAAAAGGGGTGGGAGCCAATTTAAGACAACTTAATCTGGGCTGGACCACTCTAAAGATTGGTCCCTGCAGATGACATTTCTTAAAGAGAAGGGGGCTAGAGAGAGCCCCATATTCCTTATTAGATGGGCAGGAGACAGTGGGAGAAGGTCTTGTTGATATCCCAGTCCTAAGCCATGTGGCCTTCTATTTAAGCAGGTCCGACTCTGCTTATCTTCCAAGACCAGGCAAAGTTGGAGAGATGCTGCCATCTGCTGTCAGCCTGTATGTAATGTTATTTACAAGCTTTATCTTGACAATTTGAGTAGTAGTGTTAACCATTTGTGTGTGTTCTAGGAAACTCTTTTCTTTGACTCAAGGCTCCACATAGCATACCTAGTCAAATAGTAGACCATTAGTGCAATTTAGAAGCTTCGTTAATTTAACTCCCTCAGTAATCTATTCCATTATGGAGGACTGGTGCCCCACAATAAGTAGGTGACCAAAAATAAGCTCACATTTATATTCGGGATCCAAAAAAGCTCAGTTTTTAAACACAGCATTAAATCTTTGTGCATAGTAGTTACTCCTTCCATTACATAAACAGAGGATGAACATGTACCATCCATCCAAGACTGTATGTCTGGGGTAGTATAACAGAATAATAATCTTTGGTATACCTCAAATTCAATAAATCCAAAATTTGTTACATATTGATAAATTCTAACTGTTGGTATATAATTCAACATCCATTAACATTATTTAAACTATTCCTTTTCCCAAACTTTATTAACGCGTTTATGGTTTTTAAACCAGTCCAGAAAAATAGTGAGAGAAGCTCATATTATATTTGTAAGTTTGTGTGTGTGTGTGTGTGTGTGTGTGTGTGCATTGAAGTC